TCGTACAAGCAATTCTTCGCGTGGACGCACTTCTTCGCGTGGACCGAGAACCAGCCAATCTTCTCAACTGTCAGAAGAGGCACACTAACGTGACATTTATTTTTTATAAAGCTGAACGTTAATTAAAATGTTATATTATTTTATTGTGACGTGAAATTATTATGATGTTCCAGCTGGTACCGAGACAGATATATTTAGTTTTGAGTACAGCAGCAGTGTTCCCTAGCATATGTTGGACTACGTAGTGAGCTACTTGAATGTGAAAGCAGATGGGAACTGCGGATGGCGGGTCATTGCGAGTTACATTTACGGGGACCAGGAGATGTGGCATCTCGTACGAGAGAACGTTGCCAATGAGATTTACAGCCACCGTGCCTTGTACGAGTACATCTATTACAGGGATATCGACACGGCACTCGCTCGGATAAGGTGGAACGGGGGCGCTTTTTATTTTTATTATTATTATTTTTCTAATATTTATATTTTTTATTTATTTTCTTTAATATTATAATTATTATTCTTCAAATGCTAATATTTTAATTTTATAAGGTGAGACGGGGGCGCTTGTGGCACGAATCACTGGATGGACACTCTAAGCGACATCTACCCTGTTGCAACCCTATTTAATGTGGTTGTCGTTCTTTTAAGCTCTGGTCGCGATGGTCGTATGTCCAACCAGTTCAGTTGCACAGTATTGTCGCTCGCTGCAGCATCAACGAGCACAGGGCCACGCCGTGAGATTTGCATATGTCACCTTGGTAGCTACGCACACTACATTCGGTTAGATTTGACTCCGGATTGTCCATTACCGCCTATTCGTAGTATGTGGTTCAGACACCGAACTGCTTCGGTGGAGAATTGGGAGAATCAGCACCAGCCTAGGTTGCAATTATGGTTTGATGCTCAAAATAACCCCTGATGTATGACATATTTTCTTCTATTTGATGTTCGATTTTATGTTGTTGGGAACTTTTACACGATTATGTTTTTTTTTCATTATATGCTTTCATTTTATTCTTGTTTAAAAAAAAAAAGATGTCGCGAGTAGCGACTTAACCCACAAGGGTCTCTGTTTTCTCGCGAGTGACATTCATCATATTTTCATGACACGAGTCGTGTGGGGTGAGAAGAATTGAGAATTTGCCACGGTTTTTTCACACGACTCGTGTGCCTAGTGACACGGGTCGTGTGACCTCACACGACTCGTGTCACTTTGTCACACGAGTCGTGTGAGGTGAGAAGAATGGAGAATTGGCCACGGGTTTTTCACACGACTCGTGTGTCTTGTGACACGGGTCGTGTGACCTCATACGACTCGTGTCACTCGGTCGTGTGAGGGGTCGTGTGGACCTAGAATTTTGTCGAAAATTGAAGAACGGTCACACGACTCGTGTGGATAGTGACACGGGCCGTGTGACCTCACACGACTCGTGTCACCGTGTCACACGAGTCGTGTGGGGTGAGAAATTTGGATAATTAGCCACAATTTTTTCACACGACTCGTGTGCCTAGTGACACGGGTCGTGTGACTTCACACGACTCGTGTGACGCACATCAGTCCGCATAATGTTTGAGTTCGAATGTAGTCTAATAAAAATAAATAACGCACATCAATCCGCATAATGTTTTACCAAAAAAAAAAAAAATCATGTCACACATTTATTTGGAATTGGCGTAATCCAACCTAAGCTTAGCCAATTCGTCTGATAACTGCGCCGCCTGCAGAGGATCATGAGCTGTCACACCCCCCAGAGTCCTCGTGGTAAGGTTGAAAGCACGGTTCATCCACTACAAAACAAAAAAATTGAAGAATAAAAATATATGCTCATTATTTATTAAAATAAAATTTATTCTAATCAAACATTATTAATTAAAAGTTTGCGAACGTCTTACATAGTCGGTGTTCCCACGCATAGGGACCTCTCTCTCGTCAGGCAGATTCTCACCCAAGATAGTAGGATGGGAAACCCGACGGTACCACACCAAGTACTCCGTATCTGCCTCCCCTCGATCATCTGTGGCGACCCTACACATGCTGGTGTTGACAGTCTGCGACATCGGGAACTGGTTCCACATATTTACTGTGCCGACATCATGATGCTCAACTTTGTAGAGCCTTGACTGCCAAGCACGGTAATCATAAGTAATGGATCAAACATTTTTTTTTCATGATTAAATAATTGTTAGTTAATCATTCATGATTATAAAATTCTAATTAATCATGTATAAAATTCTAATTAATCATCTATACTACCTGCCAAGCACGGTTTATAGCGGTCGGCGTCTGTATAGGGGGAGGGATGGTCTGGACATACCCCAACTGCCGCAGAAACCGTACAGGATAGTACGGCTCGACAATATAGCGGTACCGAATCAGTCCGCAATAAAGAGTCCTCTGCTCTATCTCATCTGGCCATGAGCTGCTGTATGGCGTCCATTGCACCTGTTCACAATGGCATAAAAGCATTTATAAGAATATTTATATTATTTTAAATAACGAGTAACTAAATAAAATAACTTAACGTACACTTGAGGCAGTGAGTCTGTCCAGCTTCCGACGGATAGACATGAGACGGTCCTCTGACCTATGAGGCGTCCCTGCGTTCCACATCTGAGCTCGTGCGGACTCGTTAGGTCCGAGGGGTAAACGCCCCTCCTGGGGTCGGAAATCAGGGAAATACTCGTAAATCTAAGACTGCAGAAGAGTCAAGCAGCCGGAAAGTTGTTTGGAATCCCCTCTGCTGGCAATACCTAACTGTCGGTATAAATATGCCAGCGTAGCCGACCCCCAGGAGTAACCTCCAATGGCATCCAAGCCGTCGAGCACCTCATGTAGGAGCTT